AGATGGACTGGGGGGGGGGGCAGGCAGGGCAGTGTGCGACGTCGTGACGCCCTCTCTTCTTTTCCAGCGTGGGTAGGCTCGCTGTCCATGGGCATGATCTTCTTCTGCTGCCCCATCGTCAGCGTCTTCACGGACATGTTCGGCTGCCGGAAAACAGCTGTGTTGGGCGCTGCCGTGGGCTTCATCGGACTCATGTCCAGTTCTTTCATAAGGTAAGGATGTGGCCGCTTCACATTGCTCCCGCAGAGCTGTTCAACACCTTCCAGAGTCTTTGCGGCTTACAAGGAAAATCCCCTGAAAACCACAACTCTCTGGAGATCTCCATTGTCGCTCACAGCAGCACACCCGAGGTCGAACATCGGAACACATTTGCTCACCGTGGCCAGTTTTAGATGTCAGGATGCAAGTGTTCACCGGAGCCAAGAAAAACGTTTTTCCTTTTGTTTTAATCTATCTCCACAAAACTCCTAAAGGAATCAAATTATATCTATGAGTTATCTAAAGCTGTGGTTTCTGTTTGAGTCACTGCCACCTTAGATCTCGAAGGTTCATAAGGGGTATTTTTAAGTTTGATAGGAAAAATATTTTTATTCATGAGAATAAGATCTTCTAAACCAGTGCCAACCTAGGTAGAGATTTCCAATCTATGCTTTAAAAAATAATAAAAAATAAAAAGAAGATATTAGAATATTTAAATACCATGACATGATAGAGTGGTTAAAATACACTTAATGTCATATACTGCATCTATTAGAAGAAAAGATGCAGGCCTCCAAGACACCGAGGCCAAAGGACAGGTTACAGGATGAAGCAGCCGTGGACCCCAGTTCTTGGTGGTTCTGAGAACTCGGTTAGAGGAGCCCGGTGTCCCCGCGGCACTGGGAGCAGGAGGCAGTTAGCAAGGAGAAGCCTGAAGACCATCTCCAGCTAGTGCTTGTCTTCCTTCCCATCTCTCTTCCCCGCCTACCCTCATGTTCCCTTAGTTGAAAACCACGACTTCGTCATGGGTGGGGCTGAGAAGGGATTGGGCTTGCAATATTGGCCCTGCTTATTTTAAGTTTTTTCATACTTAGTCAGCAGAATCCTTAGCTTTTCTCACTTCACTTCCTATTACACACATGCACACACCCCTTCCTCAATCTAAAGTAGGCAAAAGTTAGCTTTTGTACTTCTCAACTTAAAATTCTATTCAAGTTCTTTAAAACTATGCTTCTTAGAAGAAAGCAGGTCTTCTTTTTTTTTTTTTTGTTTTTTTTTTTTTTTTTTTTTTTTTGTTTTTTGAGACAGGGTTTCTCTGCATAGCTTTGCGCCTTTTCTGGAGCTCACTTGGTAGCCCAGGCTGGCCTCGAACTCACAGAGATCCGCCTGGCTCT